CCGAGTCTCTGGTGCCACAGCTTTGAAGTCTCATTGCCTGCTGCAACTGAGATCAAACAACGTGCCCCTGCTGTCATATATAGGGTACCAGTTTTTCTGCCTCGGGCAATCGTCATTGCGCCCTTTGAGATCTTCCAATCATCTCCGTGGAAGGTCGTGGTATATCCTTCGCCAGCCAACTGGCCTACGGATATTAAATTCTTTCTCAGGTCGGGAATATGCCTGACATCCTTCAGCTCCCATACTGACCCGTTCAACTTAATTTTCACCACGCCTTTGCCCACAATAGCACATGGTTGATCATCACCAAGATATACGTATCCAAGATTTCCGGGGGTATACTTCTCGAAGAATTCTTTCTGAGAGGTAGCATGGAACGACGCTCCTGAATCTAACACCCAAGATTCCTCCTTGCTCTCCAAAGAGCATATCAATGCGTCGTCTCCTCCTGAGGTGGATGTGACATTCACCTCTGCCTTCGCCTCCTTCTCCTTCTGTGCACTCTTGCACTGATTCTTGTAATGCCCGGTCTTTCCACAATTCCAACACTCGATAGCCTTCGAGCTGTTGCTTGGATTCCTTGATTTGGACCTCCTGTCCTTTGATCTACCTCTGAAGTTTGATTTTCCTCGTCCGTTTCCTCTGGTTGAATTTCTACCTCTTGACTCTGTATGCAATACTGAAGAGGTTGTAGCTTCACCAGTTTCTCTCCGTCGGATCTCCTCACTGAGAACCAAATCACGAACGTCGTCGAACTTCAACTTATTGTTTCCCGACGAGCTACTCACAGCTGTGACTGTAGCGTTCCAACTCTCTGGTAGGGAAGACAACAATATCAACGCCCGAACTTCTTCATCAAACTCAATCTCAAGTGAACTCAATTGGGTTGTAACCGTATTAAGTTCATTGAGGTGTTGTGCTACTGACGCGCCTTCCGCCATTTTCAGATTGAATAACCACCGCATCAAATGAACTTTGTTCGCGGCTGATGGCTTCTCATACATATCCGAAATCTGTTCCGTCAAATTTTCTCAGTCTCATTTTGCCTCATCTGTGCCATGGCTCGCCCACTGACATCTGACTTGTTCTAGATCGTTTCACGCTCTGATACCAGTTGTTGGGAATTTACACGCTGAAACCCCCAATGGGCAACAGAAAACCAGTAAGAAAAATGTACACCAAGATTAACGAGGTCGGCAACTGCCTACTCCTCGGGAGCACACAGATAATTTCTTATTAATCAAACAAGAAATTACAATTTAGGAGCGGATCTCAAAACTGAGATTTCTCAAATAAACACTGTAGCTACAGTGTTAATAATCAAAGGGTATGAACCCTTTCAATTTCTCTCACTTGAGAATAAATAACCCCACAATTAAAACCCCTCTTTAATTCTTATTTCTCTCTCTTCTTTAATCCCCTCAACTACTGTTGAAGATTGGGAAAAATCGCAGCAGCGATTTAAGGCAGTCCGCCGCCGCCAGAAGAAGAAAATCAGAGGAGGGGAGGAGAAGAACGACGGCAGCAAAACCCTAGGCTGGAGGGGGGGTTTTATAGGCGAGTGGATGGCCTGGCGACAGCCTGTCGCCAGCTGCCCGCGGACGCCAAAAGGGGGGCGAACGCAGAGGTCGAAGAGAAAACGCAGAGCTCGAATGGGGGGGTCGAACGCAGACTTCGAAGGGTGCGTTCGCCCAACTCTGCGTTCGCCGAAGTGTGCGTTCACCGAAGGATTGCGTTCGCCGACTTCGCCTGCGTCATCTCCGCCTTTCTCGAGCTCGTCGGAGCTCCTCCGCCGTCGGTGACAACCGGAGCTCGCCTGCGTCATCCTGGAGCTCGTCGGAGCTCCTCGTCGCCGGCGGAGGTTTGTTTCCACCCCCAATTTCTAACAGTTTCAATAAGCTTGCAAAATAAGTTTTACCAAACATTATTATTCACTGCTTAAAAAAAAGCAAAAGCGAACTAAAAAAAGTAATACCAAACTGGCCTAAAACCCCGGGTATTAAAGAGCAAAATAACTCTATCCTTTAGAAAGATTGGTAGAATCATTTATTATGTGTCAAAGGTCTCTTCCACTGTACCAAAAACTCCAAAGTTATGAGAAGGGATGACGGTTATTACTTTACACTCTAGCATGCTCACTTGAGCGCCCTTTTCATGGGCCGAATCCCGGACCTAAGTAGCAATATCTTTTTCAGAAATCGTTTTTAAATTTGTGGCTTTTTTTGGTNCATTTGTAATTTTTTTTCCATTTCAAAAAATATTTTTTTGAGAAGAATCCGTAGAAGCATTGATGAGTTTTATATATATGATGATTGATGATTAAAGCTAAAATATCAAAAGATGTCCAAAATATTTTCTGAAACTACTAATATATCCTACTTTAAACAGCAAAGCAATAAGGACTTATAAATCATGTTCTTATCAATTTCTTCGAAAACAATTGAGATTCTTATAATCTCATTCCATTTTAGTATAAGCCAAACAAAATATTTAAAACATGGAAACTTGTGGATTCCACTCTTGGAGGCTAACAGCCCATAAATGGAAGAGAAAAAAATTTGACAGAAAGTTTCTTTCTCCCTTTTTGCTTTGATATATGATGGATTGACTCATAAGTAAGATCACTAATTATGTCTTAAGGAAAATCACAGGGTTGTGATTTCCCCATATGTAATATGTTAAGTCCTGATCAGGATAGTTGAGGGATGAAGACTCTTAGGGGTGTTTGTGAAGTTATTTTTAGAAGCTTTTAAGTATGTTAGTATTTGGCTTTAATGATAAAAATTTTATTTAAAAAAATGTATGAGTAGAATAGTCATTGTCTAGGTCACACCTAGCTTGCTTAGGTGAGCTTATAAGTTAGTTTTTCAAAAGTTAGGCAATCCTAACTTTTTTTAATGAGAACTTAAACGCTAGCTTACTCGGGATGTTACCAAACAAGTTGATATGGAAGTTTTTTACAATTGATAGTCTCTTGACATTAAGTCCTGACCATTTCTGGTGATGTAGTTTGAGTTCAAGCTATGAATGATGTACAAATTATGCTCTTGTGCTAATATATTTTGTCATAGTATGGTGTTGCACATATTTTCTTGCCAGAAAAGCTTATAGCAACCCGCCAAGGGAGGCATGCCTTCTATATGCCACTTGGTTTGATACCATGAATTTTAATGTAAATATCTATATTTTGCCTTTGAGATTAATTTTAATGTGATTCAACATGAGTGATGTATGATGTAGTTCATTTGGTGCAAGTTATAGTATAACAGATTGCCCAACCAAGGGAAGCCGGAGTTCTGGGAATTAGGTTAATTAGTATATAATTTCCTGTTGTCTACGTTGCACAGACAATTTTTCCATAATAATGGGGTATTATACTATGATTGATTTACATTTAGTGGCTTCACAATTTTTTTATGTGGTTGTTTCTTCAGTTAAAAATAACTTCTGAACTTTAAAAGTAGAGGATCTATTCGAAATATTTCTTTCAGCCTTTTTAGTTCTTTTTTACTTCACTGGTCAGGCATTCTACAATCTAGTTGACTTCGTTTGATGTTTTTTTGTCAAAGAAATTCCCCTGTTCTCACCTGTTTTATGAACTAGAACTTTTTTTCTGATCTTATATGATTCTATAGGAATATTTTGGTTTCCTCTTCATTTCCATGTTAAGGTTTATTCATGTTGAGCCATAACTTTAATACATCTAATTGAGAAGAGTATATACAGAATATATTGATCAAATAAAAATTTTCCCTGCAGGTGGAAGCCTTCTTCATTTGGAAGTGAGAAATGCTTGGCTATCGGTTGAAAGGCTGAAACCAATGCCTCAATTGACATCACTGACCCTCGAATTCATTCGACTAGATGATGAAAATTTGGCAAAGATGAACCAGTGTTTTCCATCTCTCCAAGTTCTAAACTTAGTCGGGGTTGGGGGGCTTAAGCAGCCTGAGATTCGTCTCTCCCAGTTAAAGGTCTGCCACTGGACGGTATCAAATTTCCCATGCTCTTTAGCTATACATGCACCACATCTGACAGAGTTGAAGCTACAATGTGTTGAACCGCAAATTCTTCTTCTTGAAACCCCGTTATTGTCTCATCTTGATCTTAAGATTAGAAAGCCTGGCTTGATACTCAACCCGGAAAAAATTCAGAATCTGAAGTTTATTAGATTGGAGTCCTTTTGCGTATACTCGCTTGCACATGTTTTACAAAATAAATCAGTTGAAAGGATGGAACTTGATGTACCTCAACCTATAGAAATTGAAAATTCTTTCACCATCATTAACCTTGTTTGTGCGTTTCCTAATATTCATGATTTGGCATTGGGACCAGGCGCTTGGGTTAAGCTAGAAAATTCCTTCGTCAATGAATGGATTGACCAGAGACTTGAGTGGTGGTGTTTGAGGAAACTAATGGTTCGTCTTCCATTGGATTACGACTTTGCATTTTTATGTTTCATGCTCAGCCTTTGTGTCCCTTTCAGCGAGGTGATATTGCTTATTCATGGTGATGTTCCTATTGCGGTCAAGAATCATGTTATCTCAAGGTGTAAAAGCAACTTTCCGAAGATCATATGGAAATGGGGAATGTGGAGAGTCACGTGAGATATCTTGGATTTGCGAAGGAGATTGGCCACTTTCGTAATATTGAAATATACCTCACATCGATGTTTCCTTGGTATGTAATTATATATCCTGCTCCAGAGTGTTATATTTTTACGTTCACAGATTCGGAAGAAGCTAAAATGTCATGGTGTATGCACTGAAAATCTCTACTTAAATGTACCAATGGTATTTCTGTGGATGGCAATGTCTGAACCGTAGATTGAGGTTGTGAAAGCTTCTGACTGTATGGTTTTGTACACCCAGGTGAAAATACCAGCCCTGAGAAGACTTCGGGTGCTTACAAGTTACAAATATAGACAGAAACTTGAGCAGGATACATAAAATATATATATATATATATATTATATTCAAATTCGGGTCAAATCAAGTTTTGACCGCTTGGCTATGGTTGGTTACGTTCACTTGTCAGTCATTTGTTGCGTGCTAATCTTGCTGAAAACCCAAGCACCTGCGGGCGGTTTTGCTGCAATGGATATGTGAATATAACTGTCACAAGTGAGATTAGCATACGCTTATTACGCATAAAGTTACTGCTCAAGAAATCCATAGAATTGGGTCTAACTTCAACGAATAGACGGCGACAATCAATTAGTTTGTGTATTTGTACAAATTGGGTTTTGTTTGAAATGAAAAGATTTTAAGTTTACCGACCAAAAAACAATGAACTAGTTATCGACATACACTGATATGCAGCCGGTCTTTCTTTAAATGATTACATTAGCTTTTTCCCCCCTCCAGTATTCATCAAATAAGCTCACGTAGATCTCATGGCTTGAGTGACTTAAATGGCTCTTTTCCCCCATCAAATTAGCTAAACAATGAGTTAAGACTATCTTGGTTAGTGTAAAACATGTACACCATCATCGTAGTAAGAACCCCGCTATTTGGTTCGCGGTCCAACCGCGAGCCCCAACTCGCGTGAGAGGAACAGAGGGTGGGCCCCCCAGCAAGAAAAGGAAAAGAAACTGATTCGAACATCCATTTGTTTCCCTTTGAAGCTCGCTCGCTGAGATTTGATTGCTAAACATGTGAAAGCAAACTGTATGTTTTAACCAATATAGCTTCAACTTTATTGAAGTACCCAAGAGAGCAAAAACATGGGCATGATGACAGCTTTTGCTCAGATGGCCCTCCGTCCTCAGGCGGATTCAGGTCATGTCCAGGGGTGCAGTTGCACCCCTAGCAATTAAGAAATTGCATATAGGTTCAAGTAATATTTACAATTTGCCCCCCTATAGAATTTTCGAATTGCATCCGAACCCAAATTACCTAACCTATTTACCATGCAGTTATATGAAATATGGCCGTGCAATAAGTTAGCTGTAAATAGAATTAGCTGATTGGAAAATAAAAACTAATTTAACTTTTCACAAATCAATCGCAAATCGGTGCACGCTTAAATACTAAAAGCCGAAAACTACAATGCCCAAAAATAAATATTTGTTATTCGCTTCTCTAAAGAAATTTTTTCTGGAGTCGTTGGTTTTTTTTGCTTTGTTTACGTTATTAAATTAAACTTCTAAAATGGGGTTGTCTGTCAAAAAAGCGCGAAAACCCTTAACAAAAGGGGCAGAGTACACGCGCACCCAGGAGTCTGAATCCTCCTGTCTCTGTCAGTCTCCTCTGCTCGTCTCCTTTCTCCGATCGGCGACACAAAATTTTTCCTCTATAAAAGTTTTAAAATTTTTTTTTTGTCAATCTCTCTTTTGATCTCAATGCTGCAACTAGGGCTTTTGTGATTCTGATTCTTCTTGATTTGTTTTGGATGGCATCGAAGATCGCTCAGCTTCAATCCAAGGCTGGCCAGACCTCAAAATTCGTGTCGAAGCACGGCGGCGCTTCCTATAGACAGCTGATCGAGAATAACAAGCTGTACACCGTGGATCCGCTCCCTGTCGAGAAATGCCAGGAATCGTCAAAAAAGCTCTTTTACACTCGATTTGCAAGGCAAGAACACCAGAAAAATTTGATCTTGATTCGTTCTCGTATTCTATTTGATCATCTAATTTTATGTTTAGGTTAATTTCATGGTTCATAATTTCATACACTTCGTGGTCTGTTCTTGTACAGTGAAAACAAATAATACAAAAATAAAATAAAAATAAAATAAAAAGTGGCCGATATTTCCTGCTGTAAATGCAGCGATATCGATGGGGAAACAAATATACTATACCAGGTTGTCGTGTCTAGTGTTCTCGTATTGCTTGTGAGCAATACAGTCTATAGTCATGTGTCATATATGATATAATGGAATGAATGCAAAACTTTAGAAGGCCATTGCTTCAGAAACTTGAGTTACTATGTTATACAAGTAAAGTCACACACAACTATGCCAAAGTGACGCTCGAAATTAAATTTATGTATGAGCGAGAGCCTAGGTATGAGTTACTGTGTTCCTACGGTCATAGTTTCACAGTACATGGTTCGTAACAGGTCGTGGTACAAATTCGTGTGTGCAATTCACCACTTAGAAAGTTCGGTTCCGAGAGGGGTAGCTGGCTTCGATATGCAAATATGGTCAGCGGTACTTGTAAATTTATTGGGTGCACTTACCGTTTACAAAGTGTATAGTAGAAAACTATAAGCTAATTATGTATTTCAATATTTTTATATAACATAGTTAAATACTTCTTTTTAATGGAGTTTCTCTTTTTTTTGTTATATTTTTCTTTTCACATAATTAATGTTAGGATCATGGTTTCATTTTGCGTTTTATTAACGTAGGCATTTTAGTTACGGTAAAGTCATTGACAGATATTCTATTGTATGCCTCCTTTCGCTCGATTGCACATATCCTAAGTAGCATGGAAACGGGCACGGGTACTGGTGCGGGTGCGGGTGCTGGTACGGGACACGACAAAACTGTAAAATGTAGGGTACGAGGACACGACTACATATATATATTGAATTAATACTGTACATAAGATAACTTTTTCCCTTTCATGTGTCATTAGAATTAAAATTCCGATCACATTTTTGAGTTTCTTTTATCATATTGATTATCGTGAATTGTAAACTACTTATTTTTTTACTAGACATCTAAACGACCCATTAACTATATAGTTTAAAACTTGGGTATGGACTGAAACGAATCCGACCCGTATCTTATTAGTTTCAAAAGACGGATGTGAAGTGTAAGCTAATCGTCCAGGAAGTCTTTGACAAGTGTTTTAAATTAACACATATATCGTATAATTGAGTACATGTTGTAATAAATGCATGCATATGTTCAAGAAGTGTCCATGAAGTTTGGGTACGGGAAAGTGTCGGGTACGTGTCCGGTACGTGTACGGCTTCATTATAGAAGTACTCGGGTAACATAGCACATATCGTATTGCGTTCGCACATGTGCGTCTAAAAGGATTGTGCATCCCGCATACTTGTAAGCGGTACACCAATTTAGCAGGGGCGGAGGTACATACAATACACCGCCCTATTTGACAAGAAACCACGTAGCGTTCTTTGTGACTAGCTACCACCCACTAAAAAGAGTAGCCCATTAATTTACAACGGCCCAAGCTCAAATTATAGTATCCTACATAAATGAGTAACCCATTAATTCACAATGACCCAAGTCCAAAACTCAGTATCCTGCATAAAGAGGAACCATTAATTTAAGAGATCAAATTCCAAGATGGCATATGTCAAAGGGAACATCAAATATTTCTAAAGAGAAAAAAGATGTGTATATCCCTTGGTAAATTTACTTATTAAGTTAGCATTGATATTACCAATTACCGCGACTTTTCCAAAAGCTCGATTGTAAAGAATCATCTCTGTAATCGAATGAGAGATAAATAGATGCATGACAACCTAGTAAGTTACATAGAGAAGGATGTATTTAGTGATTTTTCAAAAGAAGCTATTATGTCGATTTCAAAACATGAAGACACGTAATCAACTGTAATATTTAGTTAAATACATTTTCTGTATCATAAAGGTTGAGACTATATTGAATTTGAGACAAATATTAGCATGTATATATATATATATATATATATTTGTATTGGAGGGAATTGGTTCGCAAATGTACCGCAAATCAGTTCGAAGGAACTGTACGATAGTCTGGGGGCTAGTCTAGGAATCACGTGACTACGCCCACGCATTTGTATAACGTGTCTATTTAAATAGATATGGAAATGCTATTTTTTGGTAGTTATTACTGTAAAGGCTGTTTGCTATTTGCAAATGCTCATGGACCCCATTGGGAAGGCTCGTTGCTGATCTAGTGATGGCGTTGCTTGGGTTGTTCATCAATAATACCATCACAGTATCGGTGGGGTTCGACCTTAGCTATTGTTTTTGTCCCAAGGTCACTCGTGGAGATCAGTAATACAGGAGAAATTTACATATCCAGGGGTCTGAAAACAGAAAAAGATTTGATGAAGATTTTTAATTTTCTTTTTAGTTGAGATTTGTAGCTAGGATTAAGTTGGTTGGTTGGGCTTGAGTTAGTTATTTTGTTAGGATGTTTTATTTAATGTTATCTATTTTACTTGTTCTTATTTTCTTAGGATTTTGTTTCTCTTAGTTTATTCAATAAAATAGTGGTTTTATTTCTTCATTTGAGG